CAGAATGAACCTCCAGAATGAACCACGCGATTTCAAAAAACTCATCCTCTTGCTCTAACACGCACGCACAAATAACTACAAGAAATATTATTCAACTGACTGTCGTCGTACCAATTATTTTCAATTACAGGTCTCCTTCTAATCGAGAATCCCGAAGATTGATGACCGAAGATCCCCGAGGTTCCCCGATGACATCGAAACTCCATCACTATCATCAGTTCGCTATTGCTTTTAATATTCCACATTGGCTTTGAGGTTAGAGACGAAGTCTATCACGCCAACGACCTGAGTTCATATCTCATAACTATAAACTTTTTTAATTAGAATCACGTGACAAGGGAGGCCTAGGGGTGGAGACTTAAGGGGACCAAGGAGGCGGAGTATTAAGGGGGGCTGAGGGGTGGGGTACTGAAGGGTTCCGATGGGTGGAATACTAAGGGGGCGAGGGATGGAGTACTGAGGGGGGCCGAGGGGTGGAGTACTAATGGGCCAAGGGGTGGAGTACTGAGGGGGTCGAGTCTACGCTTGAATCGCTACGATACTCATTCCATCTTGCGTCGATGACGTCACACGTTTCTGCTCGATTCTCCGTCGTATGCGTGATCTTGACAGGAACCAAAAACGCCAGAATGAATCTTAGCAATTTCCCATGTTGATTTCCATAAGGAATGAGCTAGAACTCTCGCGTGACCTTGAAGGGAACCAAAAATTGCATAATGGACCTTAGCTATTTCCCGTGCTAATCTCCATGAGGAATGAGCCAGAAGTCTCGTGTGACCTCAAAATGGTCAAAAATCTCCCAAATGAACCTTCATAAGAAATAACACTCGATTTTGAGCTAGAAGCCCTGCTGCCTACTTACTGAAACATTCACGAATTGAGGTATTCCTCTGGCTTTGTGGAATATAATCAATTGTATGCCATCCTCATGGAAAATCTACAAGGTGTCGATGTCATTTATGTGCGGGGACATCAAAAACATGACTTTCTAACTGAAAAATGTCACGAGTTGAATATACCTACACGTGTTGTGAATTTGGAGGGCTATGACAACACAACATGGATGGTTCCCACATTCGACAACAACGAAGGTGTCTCACCGTGTATGCATCACATTCGCAACCGAACCAACTACAATTGCAGTCTCCGAAACGTAGATATTTTATACAAATGACTTTGTGATATATTATCAAAATAAAAATGTATATTAAAGTTCTATTCTAAATCATTTCTTCTTTTTCATCTACCCTCACCGACTTATGATAATATACCCTCAACAAAAATACAAAACGTAGGCAAAAAGGTCGAAAACGCAAGAAAAACGATCGCATGCAAAATGATCGAAAACGGTCGAAAACGCACGAAAAACGAATTACGTTGGACCTCAAGCAGTTGTGGTTCGTTGAAGCCCCTCCGTGTTGTGAGAACAGTTTACTGACAGCTTGGTTGAATTACTCTTGAATATGAAATAACACCCACAAATAAAGAACAGTTCGATTCTTACTATGTGTTGTTTTATTTAATAGACAGCAGGTAACAACGTGTTGTAACTGAAGTGAAAACTGAACTAACTACAATACATAAGTCATAGTATTTATATATGAGAATACTATGCGTAATAGTTGTCATCAAAGAACATTCTAGAACAAAATATTAGTAAGCAATGATGAATAACATGATGAATTATATCTGAGCACATTCATGCAGATAAAGTTCGGTTTAAAAGCATAGTCATCAAATAAACAAAGGTAACGTTCGGAATAAAAGATAACATTCGGAATAAAAGATAACGTTCGGAATAAAAGAGGTGTCAGCATTTTCCGGGTTTTATCTCTGTGGATAGTCCAGGGAAAGTTGGCATCATAGTCCAGGGAATGTTGGCATCATAGTCCAGGGAAAGTGGGCAAAAATGTAATTAACGGTCGAAAACGCACGCAAAAATGGTCGAAACTTATGCATGCCTTTCGGCATGTTGGAATGCTAGACTTCTGTTGAACTGACATGTTTTTTCTCAAATGGTGTATTTTGACGCACCCTGTACACTTCGACGTCATGTTTTCTTTTATGATGTATTTTGAGACATCCCGTACACAGTCGTTTTCGTAACCCTTCATTTTCAAACCAGCAACGCTACATTGCCCCATAAACAATGATTTATTGTACAACCGGCAACGCCGAACCTGCCATGCTGGCATTGGCAGCGTATAACCTCGATACCATCTCCATCTCTCTTTGCCTCGATTACGTTACACGCGTCTCTCGCTCTTACACACACATACACATCTTTATATGAAATGTTAATTCTTTCCCAAATCTGTGTATATTTTTCTATTCACAACATGATAATGACGATAACATTCTACGGAAATAAAAAAAATGCTGTCAGGTATATAAAATGAGTCAATTTCGATCCCGACAAAACTTTCGCTGTAAATACCCATCATTCGCAGTTACTTTCAATATCTTATGTTGGTGTAGAGGCTAAGGACAATGTTTACCACGCGGACGTCCTGGGTCCAATCTCATAACTATAAACTTTTTTAATTAGAATCACGTGACAAGAGGGCCGAGGGGTGAGGCAGAGTCGCAAGAGGGGCCGATAGGTGAGGCGGAGTACTGAGGGGGCCGAGTTGATACTACAGTCATTTTATACGCTTTCATGGGGGCTTTATAACATATCATAACCACGGTTTCAGATGGCAACCGTCACCCCCATGAAAAAATTTATCAAACGCGATATTATTGGTGTCAAAGTTGTATTCGACAGGTTTTATTCGAAATTAAAGATTGTGTCAAATATAGAAAATAATCATGAAATAATTCAGATTTATTTAAGTAAATACATGAATTGAAAGATATTCCAACCTCACTTCAACATTTCAACACAATATGAAATTGCTCCGATCACAGGATATAGAATATAAAATAATCTCCAAATACGCAAACTTTGCACAGATTGCATACTGAGCATTTTACCTTAGTACAGTGACTGGATCAAAGTCGCAATGTCAGCGTATAATTCTTTATAAATATTGAGGGAGGTCAAGATCATCAACAGACATCAGACGGTATTCAGTATTCATTTGAGTATCGATTAATCATCAGCAATGCAGCACATCTCCTTCTCTTCGATCCCGCTGGGTGGCAATTTAATGTAAGTTTTTGATTGTTTGAATGTATTTTGTTTCATTAACATTTGAGTGTGAGTTAATCTAAAATATATTTTCCGTTTCTGTTACAATAAATATTTAATTAAGTTTTTAAATGAGTTCTTTCATTATTTGGGATGAATGAATGAATGGGTGAAACAGCAAATAAAAATCCTCTCGTTAATAGCCAAGCGAGAACTGATTGCGACACGTGGTGGAGGCGCCTCTCTCGTTCTCGGGGGCTTCATTCTTCATATTGGGCCTGTTAAACTAATTTTTCAATACAAAAAGTTGAATTGTTCAAGTATTAATAATATTTTGTGGTAATTAGCTGAAAAGTGTATTTTTTCTTTGTTTTACAATAATGGGAGAATTTAATAGCTGTTTTATCCATTGAAATTACAGTTTTTCCTTCTTTTCAATATATTTCAAATAAATGTTTTTTTTTTGTTTGATTATCAGTTTTGAATGTGCTATAAGTTGGTTTTTGTGCTTCAATTAGTTTTTAAATCTATATACAACAGGTCATTGGAACATAGTTTATCCTTAACCTATTATTTCATTAAATTTTTCACACTTTCTGATAACTGTTCATCAGCTGAAGTTGAGCTGTTCATTACTGAAGTTGAGAAATCGTAAAGGATATCTGTTCATTCAGCTTCTTATGATTGCCAATGGAATAATTTGATAAATTTTTTAATTTCTTGTCTGTAAATTTCGAAAGTATGAGCGATACATCTTCCAATATCTGTTTCATCAGCTTAGAACTGTACTGTTGAGATTGGCTAACCTTATGGAATATCTGTTCATCCAGCTCCGTACGATTACCCATCACATGATTTCGAAATTTTGCATTCGTATCTGACTTTTTGGAATATAAATGATACACCTACCAATATCTGTTACATCAGCTTGGGAATGTGTATCATAGTATCAATTAGTTGGATTCATAAGATATTCTTTGTTCCCAACCATCCTTTAACATTTTATTGGTAATTACTCGAAAAAAATTATAGTAGTCGTCAACGTCAGTTCATTAAGTAATTAATATATTCAATATAATCAATAAGAATATTGACACGAGAAAGATGTCCATTTTTGAGTTTTATTTGCTTTTTGAAAGTTGTTTTTCCCATAGTCGATTCATCGTCCATATCAATAAGGTTTATTTTGTAACACACGTATTTTTTCTGATTTTGCAAATCTTTTATAATCATTAGAGTCAGTTGTCATATGTAATTGACGTTTATATTTTTCATTTTTATATTTCACCTGCTGTTTTCATTGTAATAATTTTCAATTCAGTATAAATAATATATCAGTTGATATAACGGCGTGAATAAATAGACATAATATCCATCTCAGTAAACATACGTGTGCTCCAAATAAAACTTCTATCGAATATTATCCATTACATCTACCTTCGTGAAAAACGTCCCTGTCTATTTCTGCTAACATAACACAAACTAATTGTTTGTACATTTGACACACAAGCTGTTGCCTGATTTTTTTTATAAAACCGAAAACTTTGATGTCGATATGGTTAACAGAAAAACAGAATGAACTCTAATAATATAAAACATCTTACACTATGTTGAGATAAGAAATGCCATTATGATCGCCAGCATGAAAAAATCCTCATCTTTGGCCAACAGTATAAATATAAACTCTCATCGATTGGTTAATGACTTTTTTTTTGATACAGTGCAATATAAAATATTGAAAATTTTCTCAGATTTACTATTTTCAGTAAATTTTGGGAAACTTTTTCCTTTGAGTTTGAAGCGTAATAATTCATTTGCAATAAATAGTGATTGCGAGACTGATATCAAGAGGTATTAAAAGATGATGGTGTTCAAAAATTTTATTGAAACATGTTTAACATGGCAGTGTTACACTTCAAGCATACTTACCTCTCTTTCACAAAAAGTTTTTTCCTCAAATACTATTGTTCACTATTTTTTGCATAATCTTAAGCGCCACGCCTATAACAAAATGAAATTTGTTAAACTATACTCTGTAAATGCACGTAATCCTTCATGAAAATTTGTAATTGGAAATGTTCAGAATACATATAATATTAAACAAAAATTTGTTGATCTAGTTAGATATCTATTATACGGAAAAATTCCACAACTATGAACTGTTTTATGAATGAGTATTCTGAGTCAAATTAAAGTATACAATTTTAAACATATAAGAATCCAGAATAATTAGGGTATAATAATTAGAGAATAGTAATTAAATAAAAATGCAGATACAAAATATTTTTTCAGTTGCAATTAGTTTTTCCAAATATAATTTTACATACAATTAATCAAGGAAAAATAAGCCGTAATTACATAAGGAAGAAACATAATAATAATGAATGCATTATTGACACATCCCTGGCCAGAAAAAGTACAAACAATTCAATGTCACCACATAGTTTTATTTTCTTATTTTGTATGGAAAGTAATAGGAAATAGCATCTCAGACTGATGATCTACGAATAGTTGAGTTTGTAATATTATGAGAAATAAAAGAAGCATATAGATATATTGAAAAGGTGAGAATTGATGATTATGTATTGAAGAAGAATCATTTATATAGGTAGACTATACACACGAGATGAAAAGGCAGACTGTGGAGGACACTCCCAAAACTGTATGAAATTTTTCATTTTTTAAGGTGTGTGAAATATGTAGATGTTCATGAGAAATAATGATGATTATAATATGAATTTTGTATGAGGCATGAAATGAAATGCGCATATATGAGGTCTTCGGAGGAAAGACAATAGGTACGATGTTGTAGAAAGTACGACACAGAAAGTTGTCTTAAGAAAAGACAAATATGATGTTTCAAGATGTAGAAAGTTACTACGTCAGGGTAATTATGAAGAAAGGTGAAAGAGTATAAAGAGAATAATAATAATATATGCAAAATCTGAGAGATGCAATATACATGTGGTTTCTAATATATATTTATCTGATATAATTCAATATTCGTCGTTGGTACTAGCCAGGAAAGTAGTTGTTTTCGATAAATATTTCCAATAACTGTTTATTTTCATTGAAAAGGAAAATAAATTACTATTGCTATTTTAAATTTCCTATTATTCAGTGAAATGTATATCACATAAGGTGACAATTGAATAGACAGGTGACAAATACTGTAAGGAATCAGTAAAAAATTATACAAAAAGAAATTAATGTTAAAATGGGTGTGTCATAAAGAACCAATGGATTTTGAAAGTATACTCAAGCATAAATCAAAAAGTATGCTTCAAAGTTGAAAAAGAAAGTTCGTAAGGTATCTGCTAGTTATTGTCAAATTAACAATAATGTATATTATATGTACTCTAACCAATTAGATTAAACTGTCAAATGATTGTTAACTATATAATGCAGTGATTTTTGTTGATTTTTTTTTGTTATCGAATTTATTAGTAACATAACCTAGTTATAAGAATAAAAATATATCATGAAAGAACTTACTGCCGGATTTCTCTCTTGTTTCATGCAATCCAGGCAACACCACACCCCAAGGCACTTCGAGGCAGTCACTACTTCACTACTCCATCATCACTGTTACGGTTTTCCACTCCAGGACATTCAGTAGATTGTACCACAGACAGCACGATGACCTAGGAAAACATGGAGTTGAATCATCATATCTCAAATGAAGGGACTATAGGAATTTCGCAGTCACTAGTGCCATATTCAACCAGAAACAAATACTTACGTTGTTGCGTTACCAGTTGTTCTGAGTAGCTGATAAACAGTTCCTGTGTGGGTAGACATCATCCATAGACATAATAATATGCGAATAGAATTGTAATACTCAAAACAATCCAGAATCACCGTCATACCGTTGAGTACTAGGATAATCCAAATCTCAAGCAGCCTACAGAAAATATTTCACTAATAATTAATGAAAACAATGCTAGTTTCATAAATGCTGACACAACAGAACCACAATTGATGATGTTTGAAGTTTCCCAAATGCTCTCGACGGAGTAAATTTCTATAAACCAGGGCCGCTAATAACTCCATCACACTATTACACGATAAACACACAAATATAAATATATATCAATTC